ATCACAACTAATCACAACAATACACACTGAATTAATCCATTTCATTCAATAAAAATGGTTGATTATGCCAGTGAAAATCAAAAATCCTGATTACTTCCCCAGAGTAGTGCAATGTTACTATATTAACATTATATTGCTCTGGTCACAGTGTGTAAAAAAAAACAAATGTAAAATGTCTTTTTTTTTTCTTTTTTCATACTGTCACCAGTCAGTGTCACTGATCATCACCACACCAGCTGTAGGATGACGCTGTGTTGCACTGGTGACAGTATGCAACAAAAAGGGATTTTTTTTTCATTTCTTCATTTTCTAAAATTATGAGCAAAAAAACTACTTAAAAAAAGTCGCTATGTATCTTCTTAAATACCTTGGACTATTAACTTTCCAAAAAGGGTCATTTGGGGGATATTTGTGCTGTCCTGACATTTATGGGCCTCAGGAAATGAGATAGGCTGTCAGGATTGATCAATTTTCAGATATATATCATAGTTTGTGGACTGTAGAAATTTTCTACGGACTAAATGATAAACACTGATATGGGTTATTTCATGAAAAAAAGGAAGCAGAATACATTTTTGGCCTAAATTTATGAGGAACATTTATTTATTTTGAAAAAAAGTGTTTTTCTTTGCTTCTTTCTGCAAAAAAAAAAAAAATATCCAATGGTTATTAAATAACACCAAGAGAAATCTATATTTATGTGAGCAGGAAGGGAGTGGAAGTGTCCAGTATTGAAGTGGTTAATCTAAGCATGAAGTCTAGATGGTACATAGCACCCCTACTTATTCACAAAAAAAGCTGTACGCTAGCACCCAAACATTTTAGTCCTTCATTAAAAAATAACAATTGCCAAAAAAGTCCCTCATCATCATTCACAGTGACTTCTGTCCACCAACTTGCTGAAACAAAACCCAATGACCCAGCACGCACAACCAATCCTGATGGTTCACATAACTGTTGGACAGCTAACCAGGAAGGGGCAGAGATAGTGGATAGTGGACAAAATATGGCCATGGTCATATTTGGACAATATCATTGCTATCTTCAGTCCTTTTATTTCCAGTGAACCAGCGACAATGAAAGCTTTCATATCTAGAAGCCGTAGAAATATGATTTGACAAATAGGGGGGGATGGACTAAAGTTTGGGCATTTGTCTGAAAGCCTGAATAACTAAATTTCGGTCCAAGCTGTTAGCTCAGTCCTATTTACAAATGAAATAACGTTTTTTCTTCAATTCTGTGCTTTTTTAATACCTGTATAACAGGGTAACACATACATTCGGCATCCAGGAGGTGGACTTTAAACCTGGGCACTGCATATATGTGTTCCTTTGTTTGTGCTGGGAGCATGCTCGATCGCTTGCTCCAGCACAGAGACCAGGCTCTCACCAAGAGGCGTAGGTCTCCTACTAATGATCGGGAACCGGAAGTGCCGGTTCCTGATTGCCTGATAGCTGTGGTAGCCTCTGACTAGCTAACATGGTGATCAATCACTGTGCAGCCCACCCCTGGGTTTTTTTCTCTCCTGAATGTAGAGAAAGATGCATTGTAACTTTCTCTCCTTCCCAGGAAGAAAAATGTAAATAAAAATAAAGAAAAAAGCTAGATCAAGCTTTGATCTAGGTCAGTGTCAGGAATAGTGTTATGGTCAAGGACAGGGTCTAAGGTCAGGTTCAGTATGTTATAGGTAGGATTTAAAAAAAATGGCATTTTTTAAAATTAGTATTAGTTAGTGTCAGTGTATTTCAGGTAGGATAAAAAAAAAACAAAATGAACACTATTGTTTCTGAGCTCTACTGAGGGTACATAAAACAAATAATATACACATATGCAGTATCACACTGCAATCCTCAGGAGCAGGATAATTTATTTTAGGTTGTTCTTTGGTGGTAAGATATAGTAATAGCAAGAAATATGCTGCTAAATTAAAAACAAAATACTATTTTGGGCTAGTTTTCCTTTTATATTAAAAAAAATATCAGGAGATATCTGTTATGCAGGCCATAGATGGTTCGTTTATCGGCCGATTTTTTTATCTGAAAGAATAATCGACCGATTTTTGTTAGTGGGGCAATGGCATCGGCCGATTTTCGCGGTTCCTCCTCATTTCATTTATCGGTCATGCTGGAAAATTTGTGAAAAACGTCCGATTTTTGCAGTCATTGGTGGCAACATCGGTTTACAGAACGAATGATGTTTCATTTTTTGGATGAAAAATTGACCGATCAACAAACCGTCTATGGCCTGTATTACTATTTACCAACAAATGAAATCCAATTTTGTCCTGAAAAAACAAGGTATAATTCACCTGGATACACAAAGTAGTTTTGATCATATGTACAGTTTTACTAACACGTCAGATTTGCAAAATTGGATCTGGACATTAAATGATTCATCTTTTCTAAATGAATGAAGGTTAATGAAGTTCACCTTTTTATAAAAAAAATAAAAAAATAAATGCACATCTTTTTGCATGTATTCTTTTACACCGCAGCCTGTAAGGTATTGCACCCGTAATCAGCAGTTCGCGGGTACACTGCCAGTATCCTGCAGACTCTCAGTCAGCTGTCTGCTTCTATCTCATGTACGGGCAGGCAGTTACTGAACTGCGGGAAGAATTAATGCACTATGAGAGCACTCACCAGAGCCTTTGTAGACTGAGAACTACAAACCATCAGCCTCAGTGGCTGACAGTACTTGTAATTCATTCATTCACAAACCTCTATGACTAAATTATGGGGCAGAGCCCTGCATGGCTGTTTTTAATTAGTGACAACGGGTGAGGGCTGCCTGCTGTCATGGGGGGATCGGGGAGTGTGGGCAAGTGCTAGATTGTAACATGTTACACATTAAATAAAGGTGTAACATGTTACAAAGGTGAACTTTGCCTTTCATGTTTGGTTTTGCACCCCATCGGTGCTCCTGGCCCCTCCCTCCTGCCGAGTGCCCCCAGAGCAAGCAGCTTTCTATGGTGGCACGCAACAAGGCTGGCTCCTGAGCCACTGCTTTGTGTGTCCAATCATGCTTGGCCCCGCACCCTCCCCCACTCTTTCCTTATTAGTTCACTGGCTTTGATTGACAGTAGCAAGAGCCAGTGGTTCCTACTGCTGTTTCAGCTAATGAGGAGGGAGAGACCTGGGACAGCCAAGGCTCTCGTGCGCATCGCTGGATTGAGATAGGGCTTAGGTAAGTGCTGGGGGTAGCTGCAGCACACAGAAGGTTTTTTCTTTCATGCATAGAATGCATCAAGGTAAAAAATCTTGAGACTTTACAACCACTTTAAGCCCTTTTACCATTATTAAGGGGTTAAACATGACACAAAAAAAATTAACAAACAAAGCAATAATTTGTATAGCCAAGAATAGGGTAGCAGGGAAATGGCAGAGGGGGAGAAGAACTGGGCGTACTACACATGCCCTGCTTACTACAGTTTTTTGGGGTGTGTGTAGCATGTCCAGTGTCCTCCACTGGCTACGATAGTTATAGGAATTATAGGAGCTGAAGTTGCATTAAAGCAGATGTGAACCCTGATTTTTTTTTTTTTTAAGAGTTTAGGCCAGGCAATTTTAGTGCTCAAAATTGGTTTTTCTTTTGGTCATGTGACTGCTAGTTTGTATTTTTCCATTCTTTAGGCCAGGGCTATGGGCAATTGTGACATGTGTGGGTGTCACATTCTGACCCTTTATTCTAATCAAACAACTTCAGAGAAGGCTGACATCTGGACCCTAAAGGTACACTGCGCATAGGAAGAGCATCTTGTGTTCCCAGCCTGGGAGTGTGTGCGTTATATTGGCAATGCTATGGTAGGATTAGAAGCCTGTGGGTAGCATTGACACCTGAGCACAGGAAGCAGGAAAGTACCCTAGTACTGTCAACAGATAAAACAGCTACTACAAAAAGCTTTCAATGCTATAATAAACAGGCTAAATGTACCATATTTATCTTACAGAGCAACCTGAGTCCACTTCTAAAATGATTCCATTCATGAACATGCATTTACTAATATTAACAAATCCTTTTAAAACCAAATATGGGTCACTGCCTAACATAACATTTGCTATTTAAAATGTTATGACTGGGATTTCATAAATATAAATTAGGGAGGTGCTTGAGGTTCTAGTCAAAGTCGAGGTTTGTGGTGATCCCAAAGCCATTTGCAGTTCAAGGACTCACTAAACTAATAAGGCCAATCGCAGCTCACTACCATAAATGCACTTTCTGGTCTCTGAGCTTAGGCCAGATGGCTTAGAATGGCCTATACTGAGGGCTTTGGGAAGGTATACAGAACACTTCCCTGCTAATGAACTGTGTGTTTATTTTAATAGGGTACATTTCCTAATTGTTGCTGGCTGCAATCTTTTAAAGTGGTTGTAAAGGCTCAAGATTTTTACCTTCATGCATTCTATGCATGAAGGTAACAAACCCTTCTGTGTGTAGCATCCCCCTACAGCCCCCCCCCAATACTCACCTAATCCCCCTCTCGATCCAGCGATTTGCACTAGAGTCTTGGCTATCCTGGGACTCCCTCTCTGCATTGGCTGAGACAGCAGCAGGAGCCATTGGCTCTCGCTGCTGTCCAATCATAGCCAGTGAGCCAATGAGAAGAGAGAGGGGTGGGGCCGAGCAATGGCTACGTGTGTGAATGGACACACGGAACAGCTGCTGGAGAGTGCACATGGTTGGGTGCCCCCATAGCAAGCTGCTTGCTGTGGGGGCATCCAGCAGGAGGGAGAGGCCAGGAGAGTCAGTGGGGGGACCCGCAAAGAGGAGGATCCGAGTTGCTCTGTGCAAAAAAAATTGCACACAGCAGGTAAGTATAGACATGCTTGTTATTTACCCGCCTCTCTCCCGCCATATAAGGAAATGATGGGCACAAGGCGGTTCTCTCGTTCTGGGAGGATTTCATATGACGTCCTCCCACTCTAACCATGCGTGCGCGCTCCCTCGGGGGCACGCAGCGTGGCGATCGTTGGTATGCTGATGTCCCTGGTACACAGCGGATCACTGATCATCAGAAAGAGCCAAAGACGTCGGCTCTGTCATGTGATCAGCTGTGTCCAATCACAGCTGATCGCATGTAAATAGGGAAATGCCGGTTATCAGCATTTCTCTCCTCATGAGCTGTCACGCTGACTACTCGTGAGGAGAGTAGAGCCGATAACCGGCATTACTCAGAGGGGACATGTACACTGATCATCAGGGCACTGATGATCAGTGTGCCCTGATGATCAGTGTAGCCCCAGCAGTGCCACCTGTCAGTGTCCATCAATGCCACCTGTCACTGCCCATCAGTGCCACCTGCCAGTGCCACATCAATGCCACATATCAGTGCCTACCAGTGCACATGAATGCCACATATCAGTGCCCATCTGAGCTGCCTTTCATGCCACCTATCAGTGTCAGTAAGTGCCACCTAACAATGCCAGTCAGTGTCGCCTATCAGTGCTGCCAATCAGTGCCACCTATCATTGCTGCCAATCAGTGCCACCTATCAGTGCCACCTATCAATGACAGTCAGTGCCGCCTATCGGTGCCCGTCAGTGCTGCCTATCAGTGCCAGTCAGTGCCGCATATCAGTGCCAGTCAGTGCCACCTATCAGTGCCATATATGAGTGCTGCCTTTCAGTGCCCATCAGTGCCACCTTCCAGTGCCTCCTCATCAGTGCCCATCAGTGACGCCTATAAGTGCAGCCTATCAGTGCCCATCACTACAGCCTCATTAGCGCACATCAGTGAATTTACAAAATGTTATAATAGAAACTAAGAAAAAACATTTTTTTCAGTTGTTTTTGATTTGTTTAGCAAAAAATAAAAACCCCAGAGGTGATTAAATACCAAAAAAAAAACCTCTATCTGTCTAAAAGAAATTATACAAATTTCATATGGGTACAGTGTTGCATGACCGCACAATTGTTATTCAAAGTGCGACAGCGCTGAAAGCTGAAAATTGGCCTGGGCAGGAAGGGGGTATAAGTGCCTGGTAGGCAAGTGGTTAAAAAAAAACAATTATGCTGGTATGCACGGTATCACACCATGGCAGGAAATCCAGCCCAAACCATTACTTTTTCCTCTGCCTAGATTTGAAGATTTAAATCCTGTGAACATCCCCTTGTTCCTGCAGTCGCACTCAGCAGCCTGGTCAAGTTGAGTTATAATAGCAGATACTCAGTGATATTGTTTGCAAAATATGGTTGACAAATACATGTACATAGTTGGTAAGGTTGAATAAAGATATCAGTCCATCTAGTTCAATCTGTGTGGGAGTTGGTGTGCTCATGTCTAAGATCACATTCCATATCCCAGTATATTGTGTTTACTAAGATGCCCATCTAAGAGTTTTTTTAAACTATCAGTACTTCCCTCTGACACCACCGATTGTGGAAGTGAGTTATTTATTCTATTTAGTATTTTAATAGGATGGATGGTTTAATATTATTATAGTTTTAATGTAGTGTAACACCCTGCTATTATTCAGACTGCAGGATGTTAAAAGAGACACAAGGTGGCAGTGTCTTGCAACTCAGTGGCACACACGCTGGTGAAAAGCTTAGTGGATCTTGTAGGCTGAACTGCAGGACTTTGTTAGAAGTTAGCTAATTAGGGGACTACATTTCCCAGAGGAGGAGGTGGTGTGTGAGTGAAGGCATATAAATGTAGAAGCCCAGGATTAGAGGAAGAAAGTGAACTGGTAGAGAGCTGAAAGGAAGGTCTGAGGAGAAAGCCAGAGATCTGGACTAGGCCACAGAGAGAGAGAGAGAGTAGAGAAAGAGAGGAGAGAGAGAGAGAGAGAGAGGAAAGAGGGAGGAAACAGCTGACTGATGACATCGCCAAAGAATTTGGAGAACTACACTTTCGGCCAGTGACCAGGAGTGCTGCAGCCACTAGTGAACTCTGCAGGAGGAACCACAGGACTTTGGGGGGCCACCATCTACAGCGTGACCACCAATCACTGGGAGGATGCCACAGATCGGGTGAGAGAGATCCAATCTCCAGCCAATTAAGTTGTCACTGACTTTCTACAGAATCAGCCATTCTCTATACATTTACTGTGTTCACAAGTTACACAAGTTCAGGCCTAGTTCACCCAGCCTATTAGCAAACACATCTCAAGCATAATCCAGGCGTTAGAGTCAGCTACAGTGTTCTCCCTCTGTGGGCCAAACCACACCACTGTCTCCTCTGCAATTGGTTTACATCCATCAAGGAACACTTGTCTCTGTTGCCATTTGCTACTGCAGTTTAGAGAGGAATGGACTCTTTGTCAATAAGTGCTTCTACTAACCCTTTAAACCTCTTGCTTAAACCTGCATCTCATCTTGTGCCTTAAAGGGGTACTGCCCAAGGTAAATATCACTTAAAAAAGATAGTGCTTGCATAAATCCTTTTGAGGAACTTCCACCTGTTGCAACCAAGGAGATCTGAATTCTTGTAGAGCACCAACTGGGCCCCAACAAGTGCGAAGAAGATCTTCCACTCCAGTTAAAGGGGCATTAACCTTCTTAACTAAGAGCTCTTTCCTTACCCCAGGCTTGAACCTGGTTGTCAGCTTCTGAGTGCCCAAAGTGAGCTAGCCTTACTCTTTAATGGTTTTCCTTTGCTCACTGGGGACAGAAACATCTCTGAGTTGAAGTCTCTGGTTAAATTCTGAATTTCAGGATGTTCAGAACTGACTGAGATTTTTGCTATATGTGTGCTGACCTTTGCCTAAAGTTACTAAGAGTAATAACTGCTATTATTTGCATGCCTATAATGTTGTGCTGCTTTACTGTGCTCATACTCAACTCCAATATAAACCAAGTATCAGTTCACTCGTGTGTGAGTCTATTTTCTGGTAATACTTAGAGAGTTTACTCTGGCCAGAAGTGTACAGTAGTGTCATCGGAGGTTGGGCTTTCAGAGTGGGGTCAAGAGTGACAGGGAGGCTGAAAAAAACTCAGTGACCCTTAAAGGGGGTAGTGCTGCATTCGTTTTATTTGGTACTAGTTGCTCTTATTGGTAATTTTATTGTGTCATTGTGTCTTTACGTCCGTTATTGCGAATTTGTGCTGTCTTTGTTGAATGTACCTGTATCTTAATCATTTCCCTTTGGGATTATTAAAGTATTCTGAATCTGAACTAAAGGCATTTTTTCTTTTAATGTTTGGATAACGTGGAGTGGAATTAGGACTTCTATCAGGTTTTATTGCTGTCTGTGCCTTTGTTAGGGGAATTCTACCTCTCTATTTGTGCTGTTTACCATTATCATTGAAACTGAAAGTAAAAAAATTTCTAAAATGTGGGTTTTCCGTAGAAAGGTAATAGAGGGGAAATGTTCCAATCGGGACACTAGTTCTAGGGACCTGAGGGTCCCCCAGGGATTCTCTTAATTTAAAGGGTACTCTCCTAAATGGGACACAGGTGGCTAAATAACTGACGGGTTATAACACTCCGTTACTCTATCCAAAATGAAAAAAATGTTTTTAGTTCTTCTTTAACTTCATATTTCTACTAATTTTAGGCTAGGGTCACACAATAGCCTGCTCTGTTTTACTGTTCAGGTTACTGCAGTATCGACTTTGGCGGGGAGCCATGTAGTGTGCATTTCAGAGCATGATACTGCTTGTTTTGTTTTTCAGCTTAGTGACACTTCATTCATGTCACTGCACATAGGCATGGTGCATTGAACGGCTTCACGGGGACATGCACGGCTTCATTTTTCCTCACTGCAATGCACCGCAGATCACACCAGCACTGTGGTGAGAATAGTGCACCTTGTTTTTTATGTGCCCTAGTAGTAATCTGTGTTTACCCAATGCAGGCTATAAACTGTGAGCAAGACCTAATTCCTGTTGTAAACGTTATAAATCCCACTTAAGGTTCCTTTTCAGCTCAGTGTTTTCAAAATATGTTTGTTGTTTGCATAATATTTCACATTGCTACATAGTACAAAGTGCATCAGCACTCCAGAGAACAGCTGTGCTCATAGAATATTATTTTATTTTTATTTAAATATGTTACAAAAAACACTAGGTGGCAGAACTGGACTTGAAACTGATTTTGCTTTGCAAAGTGTAAGGACAGAAGAATCATGCTGAGGCTAATCTCTCTGAGTCTGCCTGAAAGTTTTTTTGGGTGAAGACTTCATTCTTTAGTAATTATAAATAACAACGACAATGCACCATGTTGTAACCCGCAGGACACCTATCTAACAAATTACTACAATGAAGAACCTGCCTAACAGACTCTGCAAACCCAACTAGTGCAAAATGTATGACTATACAGAGAAACCAAATACCTGCTGCTTATGTTCAACATAAAAATGTATTAAACATATGTAGCCAGGTCTAGGCTGGGTCATTATGCAATTCAGGGACATCTGCTGCACAGAGTGAGATTCTCTTTCTTCCCCTCTAGTGTTCAGTGCAGAGTATACACATCTTTTCCTGCTAACAGAGTAGGAAGTGTGTCTGAGAAGCAGATGATCTTGGGACCTGTAGTCCCATCATCTAGAGACACTGTATTTTTCAGTATTGTCTGGACTACAGTTACTAGAAGAAAGAAAAAAATGAAGGGCATCCTGGGGAGGCAGATGTATTCCCCTGCAGCAGACTCACTGTGTCTCCTGGCATGGGGACTTGGAGGCTGACGGAGGGGAGAGTGTCATCTTCTTTTTCAAGACCAGGCAGTTGGTCCACCGTTCAGCACAGTAAACCTGCTCGGCAGTCCAGCATCACCCAACATTATGGGATGATTCTCAATATTCCTTGGATCAGTGCTGCTGAGCACCCTTCAGGCATTCAACATTTTCTCTAACACAGTACAGACACTGTATGAAGACACCATTATCCCCCCTGTTTACCTACTTAAGGGCTTCTGTTGGGGAATACATTTTGCTATCCCATTCATTCTGCTAGTTGGCATTGCACAGTGATACCTTTTGGGCCCCACCGCAAGCTAGCTGAAGGCCGTGGTTACATTTACCTGTAGGATTTCTCCATTCAAAGATTCAGTCTGCAGAGTTTGTCACTGACTGCCTTTCCCTTTTTATTATTGCTGATGTAGCACATGTTTATTCTAAGGGGGAACTCCAACCCAGGTTTTATAAATAGTGCTTAATTTCTTTCTTTGTCTGTGGCGGCAGGGCGGAGCTGATAGACTAAAGGTCTACTCTTCCCCCTCTTGCTCCTGGAATCATAGGATTATTTAGGATCTGTTGGTGTTGCATTTAAGCCTATTGACACGGACATATCTTTTGTCACTTTGTTTGATATTATATTTTGCAAATTGGGGAACACCTACACTAACCTCTTTTTTTTCTCCTGTTGACCTAATAATCTCTATTAAAGCATTATCTTGTAAAGCTATTCTTTTGAGAGTCTCTTGCACTTGTGTTTGCAGTATTCCTATTCAACCAAGTGTGTCGGGGGGGGGGGAGGGCAAGGGGAGAGATTGTTCTTGGAGTTGAT